ATCCTGCATTGTTACTCGATTACATGCTCTGATTGTCATGAAACGGCTGTTAATTCACTTGTTTCACACTCGGCCGTCGCAAACGGGATGCGTTTCCGATGTAAGAAGTAACGAGGGAAAGCGGAAAAGTAGAAGTACTTTTTTTTAATTCGCCGCCCGTCATACTACGTAGCAGTGAACACGTATAGGGGAGTCACTGGCTGCCACTGGAACTTGGTCATCGGTATTTCGTAATTCTAGCGCATGCGGTCCATAGAATGCGCCAACGAAATATCCTCGTGAAAGCCGAAACAGATTAGAAGACAAAGTATCTGCTCAAAGTATGGCTCACGAGGTGATCGACATCGGTTTTTTTGGTTGGTAAATCGTGTATTTTGGAAATTACATTTAGATACAAATTACTGAGTAATGAAACATGCATAATATTTTTCGATCTCACCGACGTAATAATAAGAAAATATGAGCTGGTGTTTTTCACAAAAGAAAGAACTTTAAAAAAAAGGGAAAAAAAAGAACAAAATCATCTGGATGGACAAAAAATAAAAAATAAAGAAAGCAATGATCTGGAATCGAAAAAAAGTAAAAAAAATAAGTATGTAAATGATCGTGACATGAACCACGGCCTTCTGTTTCGGGGCCGCCCGATTACCGACCGAGCTATTATAACATTTTTTTTTCGGCGAAATTTACCGTCATATTCGAATGATATTTTTCATTCCCTGAAAACAGGGATAAAAGGATCTAAATCTAAAAATGAAACCTAGCTAGATCGATTTTTCGCCCCCGAATCTACGCACATTATAAATTTCATAAAAATCGCTAGAGCCATAATATATATATATATATATATATATATAAGAATTGCTCGTTTAAAGGATAAGATATCTATATGATAATAATAATCTTTATTTGCCATTAAACTGGGTTTACTTTAACAGATTCTCTGTAGCGGAGTAAATACCATCAGGTGAGATGGCAGTCAAGTGCTGGCCAGTTGTAAATAAAAAAAAACTAAATATATATCATAATATAGATATTACATAATATAGTAGCAGAATCCTTGATTCCTAGATTCAAAAGGGATTGATAAAGACATACGTGAATACGTTATCGATCATTACTTATATGTGGGGCTTTCTCAAATTGATAAATTTTTCCTAAAAGTCTTAGTATTTCAAATCTATTATTATTTTATTCCCAAATAAAACTATGTGTTGACTTCTAAAATTACTAATTATTTGTAAATTAGTGGAATTATGAAATTTCAATTTCAGGATAATGCCAGCTACAACAATGGACCAAAATTCATACTTCTTTATTAATATTTCATACAATTATTAACATTTTATAGGCAAGTATCGATCTATCGTCACATTAGAGTATCAATAATATATATATGATATCTATACTGTGAAATTCATGTAAGCTGCATAACAAATAATTTATTGAGTCCCAATCATTTTTTGTCTCTTTTTCGTTCCGCCGTAGAATCAGACATCACTACATAGCATCGGTTGCATTATTCTCTTGACTTTCATCATTTTTTCATCGCATACCATTTGCTAGTTGTGCATCATCGCGTGATGTTTCTTCGTGCCTTCATATACATTCGAGTATGAGGTGTGTTCTCAGGATGATTCTATTTTCTTAGAATTTTCGTTTTCCAAATCGGTCTCAGCGGACAATTAAATATTCAATTTCATATGTAAATCTTTCGCATTATGAATACATTAAGTATATCACAATATTTATTTATATATTTTGACTGAAAATGGTGTATTACGAAGGTTGTGGGATCGATATATTTTTTTTTTTTTTTTTAAAAAAATTTTACTCGTATATCAGAGTAACGTGTTAAAGTGAATCTGACATAAAGAAAAGACAGTATCTGAGCTACTCCACTTATTGTCTCCTATTACTTAAATACACATCGTTTGAAATACCTAGATTTATCTATGATAATGAATATCATCATCATTATTATAATTTCAACCTGTATGAATCTACTGCTGAACATAGGCCGCCCATACAGCCACGACAAGGCAAGATTCTGAGCCGTCTGCATTCATCAACCTCCCATCACGACTCGTGTAACTGTAAGGGAGTCATATGTCACTCCATTTAGTCATCAGACATCGCATACTGCGATGGCCAGTGCGATGCTGCCACTCAAGAATCTTTCTTCTCCGTCGGTTCGGTTCTACGAGCTATATGGCTGGCCCATCACCAATTAGATTACTAATGACTGAGCTAAGACGGGTTGGCGATATTATAGTCGTCAGGGATGTATACTCGTCCTTTCCAGTTCAGGTGTAAGACAGGGTGATGTCCTCGAAACTCTTCACCGCTGCATTCAAAGATATTTTCAAGCTTAATGAAAAAATCAAAAGAAATGTCTGTAACGGATAATATACATATCGTGAAAAATTTTATCGTAAATAATAATCAACGAGTACTAAATAGTTCACTTTGTTTCGTCGTACTCGTAGATTGCCATTTTAATTTTCTTTCTCGTTCGTTAAGCCCGTTTAATTGCATTTCACCCTAGCGATTTGTAGAATTGGGATGAATAACAGTCCAGACTCGCTTCAGCTAGCAATCAGATGATTAACCACGTTCGAGATTACGGTCTAATAACGCTTCAATTTTCTATATGTTATGTTTTATATGTAATGTTTGCATCCAATTTAAAAAAAAGAAAAGTATGTTTGTAAATTAAGTTTAAGAGGAACGGTTTTGTGATGTGTATTTATAAAATTTGCCACTGCGGCTTAATATTCTACATATTATGGATATTAAGTCAAGAAGCAGATCTGCAAATGAGACAGAATTATTTTAAGAAATAGCAATTTAGAGCTTCGATGTATATTCGTGTAAGCACGAACGTACGTCAAATTTGTTAAAAATGTTAATTATCAGGCATTGTAATGGTGACGAATGTCTTGCTATTATTAGAGGTGTGATTAATTTGCCCGTCACGCTTCTTAATTTATAATAGCGTCCATAAATCAATTTTCCCCATTAAAGTTTCACTGAGGTACCAATTAAGCAAACTACTAAACACACGCACTTGTTATTAATATAATATAATAGTTTTAAACACAACAGACGCATTATCTTCATGTCAAACACAAACTTTGTTTCTTTCTCAAACGAATGGTAATAAACATTCACAAAGAGTGGATAAAGTGAAATAAATATACATTTAACGAAATTGATGTTATGAGAGATTTATTTTTATTACATACTGTACTAAACAAATACAGTATGTAATGTTTCAAGTTTCTTATACACATAAACTATACTTCTTATACAAAAATATGTATTCTTAAATAAATTTCATTGAAAAGGCGAAAGATTGAAATGAAAATAAACATGAAATAATCATGAAATCCAATATTATAAAGAAAGAATGAATATTAAATCTGAATTTAATAAAAATGCATTTCCTTATAAAAACTTTTAAATTCCTGCATAAATAAAGCATTAATTACCCTGCTTCAGTAAATTGCCTTCGCCAAATGATGCTACTTATTATATTTTTTTTAATAATACTCATTTCCTTTTTCATTACTTAGCCCTTTCTTACTAAATTGGAGCTTTGTATCATGTCGTCTCCATGCATTACTGTACACTTATAACCTTAATCCTTTGAAAACATATATTTTATACACTGCAGCCATCAATCGACATGTGGTCTTCCTCTCGTCTTAAAATCTGGCGCTGTTAACCGCTAGCCAGTAGTAAAACCCATACAAAATACAGAGCATACAATTATGATGTTACATATACATAATATAGGTCATTTGGTTCATTTCCCACCGACTTGACAATTAATGAATTATGCATTTGATTTATCAGAATATAATCTGCCATGTAAGCCAATAGCACAATAGAAAAAAGTTACGCCACAATGAACTACGATGATTGTAATCTAATTGAAGGATGCATGACCGCTATATAGCAAAAACTGTGTTATATGTCACATAAGTATCCTTTTAGTCATTAAAACACTAAATAAAACATAATGACAGTTGAAAAAGTAATATTATCAAACTTGGCAGTTTTGTCTTAATAGATTATCTATTCTTAAGCCGTTATATACTTAAGGCAATAAATAAATAAATAAATAATGGTCGCGTTTGCATTCTTTAATTAAGATAGCTTAGTTAATATTACTGACCTGTTGCGTATTATTAAAATAAAACAATATATCGAAGGTGGTATAGTTTTATAAATTTCATTTTCATTTAACTTCCATTACTAAGGATATTTCTCATCATCAAATGCTACCTAATATAACTAACGAAATAAAATATATTCGATACATAAATAATAACAACCGTGTGTTCACTTAAAAGGTACTCGCGTAACCACCATATCGAAAAGAAATATTCGAACATGAAAATTAAATAATAATAAATAACGTTTAATACCCTTAATAGCACCCATATTTAAACTATACAAATTAAACGCTATGTCAAATCTTACCTTACGCTATTTTTTACAAAATTGGACAAAAGAACATAAAGAACAACGAAATACACGGTACCCGTCGACTAGCCTAGTTACATATAGTAATTATATCCTTAAAGATACGTTAATTCATACAAATTAGACCACAAATATAGCATTAAACATTATAATATTACGAATGTTTGGCATACCTTCGATTACACAGCACCAATTAACAATTACGTTATGTATTTATAATGATTAAACTTATTTACATATTACCTACAAAGGTGTGATTTTGTGGTGTACAAGTATTACTACAACAACCATAACATTTAAGCAAATAAATATCAATAAATATAATTAACTAAAATAAATTAGCGTCATTTAAACATATGTCGTCATAAATGTAATCCGTTAAAAATATTCCAAAACTACCAGACCTCACTTGGTGGAGTTTTTAGGATGCCTTGGAACAGTTCAGGATGCCAGGTCGTTACCATTTTTATAAGGAGTCGTGAGTAATTGCATTCTTCTCAAATCTATTGTGCCTTAGCGTGGGCTCTGTAAGCTCTGTCTTGAGCTGCCGCCTCGTCCTCTACACTTCTCCTATAATGTCCCCCGAGACCAGTTGTGTCGAAATCGCTGCCATAATGGGACGAAGAGTACGAATGAGTCTGGGACACTTGTGGGTGCTTGACAATTTCGTAAGTGGTCTTCTCGTGGGACTCACCACCCGATACCAGCTTTTTCAAGCCGATGATTGCGGACAGAAGCAGCGCGATTTTGCCTATCAACAAAGCTTTACCAGCTATGAGGGCGATCGCTTGGAAAGCCATCGCGAGGAAGCCGCCTTTTATTGCGACACCAGCCATTATCGGTCCGATCATCTTCTTCAGTTTACTCCTAGCTTGGCTGAAGGAGCGTCCAACGTCATCCCCGATGCTCGCGGGCGAAATAATCACTCGATGCGTCTGCATGAGCTTGGACGCAGCTTGCTGGAGGCATTTGTCGACTTCATCCGACGTGAGCGCATTCATATCACCTTCCGGCAGAGAAGACGGGTAAGCGCGGTCATGCTCCAACCTCCTAACCAAGGAAACGCCATCGATGAGGGGCAGTGACTCCATACGAGCGGCCCTGTCCGCCAACTTCGCCGCTTGGATCTTGAAGCACTTTAGCATCTCCTGCGACCTCTCACAGCTCTCATACATTCTTCCAAGAACCTGGAGGCCGGCTCCGAAGGTGTCCGACGCGGCCGCAGCAAGGAAGAAGGTGCACAAGCACAGGGCGATACCCCCGCTGCACTGCATTTTGAATGTGAAACCGCTATTGCCCCTCGAATTTGAATGCTGGACAGTGCACGAGTGTCCAGTCTAAGCGGTTGCGCCTATTGAAATGTGTAGAAAACACATGAGCACTGGCATTTATCTATTTTCACCGGGAACTGCATTTATCTATAAATCTTTTAGAGCGTGCAATCGTTGCATCGTATCGTCGCGCACTGAGGCGTGCATGTGCATGTTTGTGATCTTGCCCGTGTGAGTGTCACGGTTGGTGTTGGCCAGCGGTCTGGCACTGGTGAAGTTGCTATGGTCAGTGCCACGGTCGCTAACGCGGTTTCGGACTATGTATGGAGATTCCGATTTTAGTTTTTATAAACAACTCATTTAGTATTTTTTGCATCGCACTGGTCAGTCCCTGACGTGAAATTTAATACTTTGAAATTTCTTATTACTCAATAGACGTAATATAGTTTTAATAATTGTGAAGCCGTAATAGGTATGTATTGAATGTTATGAAGAAATAATGTCAACCAACATGAATCAATCAAGTTTCTGGCGCCATTGGGAACAAAGCACTACATACTGCGTAAGTAAGCTTTTAAGTATATGTGTGTCTGACTATCTCTCTGAACTTTATCATCTGAACTAAAAATTCAGTAAAAGAAATATCAATCTTTTTCAAAATTTTTAGTTGTCATCATTAAATTTATTTTTTGTAAAGTTGATACTTAGCTAACCAATCTGTTAAACAAAAACTGGTAACTTACGAACATATTAATTTCCTTGTAAAATTTCGACGTTTCATAAGAACGCGCAAGCGTCTATGTGAATAAAGATATTTTATTATTTATTCTTGAAGCTCTTGAAGCTTAGAGAACATGCCGCTTTCGTATACTTTATGGAAAATAATAATAAATGGAAGATACTTTTTATATTGTTCCTTTAATATTAATTATTTATACAGGATTTATAAAATAGGAGTATAGGGAAGTGTTAGATTGTGTACCTGAGTCCAATACTCGGTTAAATCGTGTTTATGCCAATACATAAACACGATTTATGGAAAATAAATAAGGAAAAGATTTTTTTAGTCAGGATATTTTACCCTCGCAATTTTTAACAATTGAATTGTAATTGAATTTTTAACAAACGACTCGTTGGCGCAGTTGCCTAACTTTTGGCTTCGGCATCGGAGGTCACGGTTTCGATTCCCACACGGGAAAAGTGTGTGTGTGTCACTCATCATAATTGTTCTGGATCTGACTCTTTGTTTACAAAGAGAGTTGACGTTCAGCAGACAGCCGGTCGTAAAAAACATAGCCAAAACAACTTAAAACATGATTCACAATTTGTGCCAGCCCTAGCTAGGTGGGGTAAGGGCACGAGAATGATGAATTTTAATAATTTAAAAGTAACGGAAAACCGTTACATCGTTTACGTAACGCAAAAAACCCGTTACCCTTAATGGATAAGCATAAAGTAGGAAACTTTGAGAAAACCAGTTTTAATTACAAACAAAAACATTTTGACTGGTTTATAACTTAGTGACCTTTGTCTTATATAAGAAAACTAGCCCGACAAACGTTGTTTTGCCATATAAATTATTTGCAGGGTAGAAAAAAATGTTTGGGGTGGACCACCCTTAAAATTTAGGGGAAGAAAAATAGATGATACCCGATTCTCCTCCACCCTGACCGATATGCACACACAATTTCACGAAAATCGGTCAAGCCGTTTCGGAAGTGTTCAATTACAAATACCGTGACACAAGAATTTTATCTATTAGATTTATGTCGTATTTTTTAACAAACAGCTGAATTCAAACATTGTTCGCGACAGTGACATTTCTATAAGGCGTAATCTGCTCTCGGTTATGATTGCTCGATTTGCCTCTTAGATTCGCTTCGGGAGTATCATAGTCAATAGCAGGTTGAGTATACATCACCCACTAACCCACAAACACATTCTCACTCTTTTCAATAAACACTGCAACAGCATCCCACCGAATAGTTTGTCGACAGATCAATCCATGGTTATTCGAGTATCAAAGACATTGTCGACATTAATGACGACACACCCGCAAAATTACTAAACGATTCTTTGTTCGTTTTGGATAAAAAGGGGCGGTCTTATTTTTCTGCCTCTATCCCGCCTAGGTAGGGTCGGCACAAGATGCGAATCATGTTTCCCGTGGGTTCTGGATAGCCCACCGGTTCTGTGTCAGATGAAGCTTTAATAGTCTCGGGACTGAAAGCAAAAACATTAGTTAATACAAGAATCATGTTTTATATGGTAGAGGTTAGCTTTTGATTACAACTGGCCGCCTGCCTGTCATCAACCCTCGTTGGGTACAAACCCCCAGGTTCGGAACAATTATCTATAGTTCACACAAATACGTGTACCGCGTGGGTAATAAAACCATGACCCTAGGCGCCGAAGTCAATACGTTAGCAACTGCACCACGTATCTTGATCTTTAACTGTTAAATACTTTATAAACCTACCCGAAATTCGATACTTATCACCTTGTGATAAAGAAGATACATTGCTATGTTATATTACCTTTTGACTTATATTTTTGTCTAAATTGAAATGTTTTTAATCTGCACATACTCACTTCCACGAGTAATGGCCATCTTTAAATTATTTCTGTGTAAATGATTAAGAAAAGTACGAACGTGAACGAATCGTAGAAGCAAAATTGATAAAAACATTACCCTCTTTAAGTAGTCGGGTAATAAATGTATATAAATAAATAGCAGCAGGCTATGGAAATGGTACCCTATAATTGTTATTTTTGCTGACATTAATAAAATTGAGTAAGATATGAAGAATGAAGATGAATAAGTCCGATAAGGGTAGTAAAATTTTTGATCTATATACATGTACTAGTGCAAGATTGCTCTTAATTCTCCTACTACGTAACATCATACTCCGTTTACTAGAAGACACAACTGCCAGAGCCATAATGGTCAAATAACATTGACATGTACATAATATAAATAAAAACACAAGTGTGCAATAAATGTTTATTTACAGAAAATATCTAACTTTTACCTTATTAATTATTCAAATTCAATTGAATATTTTACATTGTACAAAAGATGTAGTGGAAAAGATATATGAAATTTAAATATCAAATTAAAATCAATATTTTTCGAACTATCCGAATCGGATTGTATCATAAAAGTAAAAACATCTTTCTTTACTTGGCAGAAATATACATAAAGACACACAGAAAATATTGATTTCGATGAAACTTTGGTGAGCCACTCAAAGCAAACCAAAAGTATTAAAATTAATAAATATATTACTATTAATATAATAAAGGATATTAAAATTAATCAGGAATTAAACAAATTAACTCTCAATTAGTAATTTATGGTTTGATCTTGCTCTTTGTAAACCATTCATCGGTTGACTGTGAACTTAACGTAACTTTGCGTAACCATCAAGTTATCCTCTATATCGTACTTCAGTCTTGAGCCCGTTATCATCCCACTTGCTTCATTGTTAAGATCTCGAATAGGATTGTCGTTGTTACTGCGTCGTTGCTTTAAATAATGACCATATAAAGGTTTCATTGTTTACAGAAAGTGCAGGAGGTGAAAAACGAACCATCACCTCAAACTCACACCAAAACTTACTGTAATACGAGTACTTACTAATTTTGAGTTCTACTTCATTTCTACTTCTAAGTTACAGCATTTTTTCATGTCTTTAAAATGGTACCGTACTTAAATTTAATTTAATTTATAAGTACTTCCCTATATTTTTACAACTATAAAGAATGGTACAAGTGCCTATGGATAGAATGTTTAGATTTAGTTCTATTTGTGTTAATGTCGAGGACACTAACAAATACGAGTCCAAGACCAAAAAGAGAAGTATGATCTCTTATTATCTCTTGAGGACTCTGCGGCACAGTTGCCAAGGCAATGGCTTCGGCATCGGGGTCGTGGGCTCGATTCCCACACGGGACAACTATTTGTGTGACCCTACAGATGGTTGTTTCGCATCTAGGTGTTTGTCCACGTGAAATTCATGTTAGTAAAACGTCCTTACAACACAGGATAATGTTATCCTAAGGGCAATGTAAAAAAATACAAATACAAATTGGCAAATTGAGGGTTATATGTACTCTAATCTACAACAGTTGTTTAGTATTATAATTAGTGCATACAATAAATGGCCGGAAGCTGCGTGAGCTTATTGTGTAAACAGATTTTCGCCAAAGTAAGCGTAAACTGTTTTCACTGCGATAGGAACAAACGGGAGCTTCTTCTGTTGCAACATAGAATAGAACTATCCGGAGATTAGGGCCTTAATTCTCTTAACAATGTTAAGTGTTATCCTTTTGTGTTTTTTCTGGTGAGATTGAACACTCACACGATTAACATAGGAATTCAACCCGAGGCCGTGAAAACTTCAACTTATTTCAAGCTATGGGTATTTGCGTTTAAATTCCATAAAGGTAATTTGCAATTAAATTTGTTCACGTAAATGTAATAAATCATTATCAATCTCAATTGTTCATCTTGAACACTTCTGTACTTCGGGGGAAAGCATAAATATTACCATTTGTAATTGTATACACTTGTAAGAGAAATTAAAATTACACATGTAAATAAGACCATTAATAAAGAGCATATTAGAGTAATAAAAATGTTTTTTTTTTAACTCTAATATGTAAAACGTTTGCCTTCTTGCATCAACTAGCAACAGTTACCTAAGAAAATCCTTATTGCATTGCGTTAAGGCTTATATTCATTGAAGTAACTTTTCACATATCATCATTACTGTGTGCAACACCGAAAATTTATAACACTTAAATGAGAAGACAGAATAAATTTAACTACCATTATTCTCGTACGCTATCGAACAAGCTGAAAATTCTCTTATATTTTTCAAACAATTAATTTAGTGATCAATTTTGTTTAAATATATGATGTTACGATTTAATGTACACCAACCGAATAGTTGAGTAAAATCAGTTTTCGCCGATATGTTTAACTTTACACATGAAAT